GGCTCTTGAATGATAACTCAACCTGAGCTACGTATGTACAAGTCTGGAACTGTGAAACTCCCAATTTCAGCTTCTCCCGTCCCTCCTCCTCCCTCTGTTGCCTCTGCCGCACGCCCGCGCTCTATGTGATTATTTTTTTTTTGTCACCGCTTGCCCTCGCCGATATGCCCAGTGATTTTGAGCCTAGATCCTGCCTAATTTTGTAAATTACGAAAAAAAGAAAACATTGGGACCTCAACTGCCGTTAACCTCAACTGTCTTAGTTAATTGACCCACATTATCAGTTTTGAAATAGTAGAATGGAAGGATTGGTCTTAAGTGTCATGTGTAAGAAGACATTTTACGATGTAGTCCGTCTGTGTTTCATCCCTTAGCTGTAAACACAAACCGAGCAATGTGTGCGGGTAGGAGCGAGAATCATCAGTACAGCCTCTTATCCGAACACTTGATCTGTGAGAACTCGATATGTACTTGTGCATGACTAAACAAGCAATGAGGCTCCTTGACAGATCACTCAAGTTACAAGTTCTCAACCCGAAATTTTGTGTTTGAGTCAAATTATGGTATTTTGACACGAAAAAATCGATGTCGGTTTGAATTTCGCTAAACTCGACTTATGATATCTGAATATATGAGGCCTCGATCTGAACTTCTCTATAAGTTGCGCTATGAACCCCGAAACTTAAAATTTGGTTGGTTATCTGACAAGTTGGTTATCTAAGTTGGTTATCTGACCTGCAAAAACTCTATCTTGAATTAAACCTGACCGATGTGTTATCTCGAAATCAACAACTATTTTGCCTGTAACACCTGGAACTCAACCTACATTTCTTCATCTGTTCAAGTTTTTGGCGAGAAAATTCGCCAACTTGGGAGCCAGAAAAGTTAGAAATCTGAAATTTTGAGGTCACACTCCTCGCTCACATAGAACTCAAAGATTTCAAATTTAGACTCCAGCCGTGCGTGGTTCTCACGAATGGCCCCAGTATCAGCTTAAATTTATAGCTCCGCTCAAACTTTCACCCAACCTTGACCTCTGTGGCCTCTCCAGTGATCTTAGTTCCTACGTGATAAGGAAACCAGTTTAAGGAAGAAAGGATATAGTATATTCCTAATAATGAAAAAATTTTGAGGATTCAGTTTACAGCAGGTAGTGCAAACAGTTCGAACTCAGCAACTTCATTCCCTCCTCGAAGGTCCTCACTTGTAACTCAATCCACGAGCTGT